CATATTCAAGTGATATATCTTGGAATTTCAAACCGAACCCTTTAATTTGTCCACTCGGGTATATTTTTCTAATTCTAATAGCAGTATTATGTATGCAGTATTGCTGCGATATATGGTCTGGAGCCCCTTCTGTTTGCCTCGGGGTTCTTGATAGGCTCCAGAGGCGGATATGCAATATAATTGGCCTTGCTCTGGCATCTCGTCTACAGTCACTTTCTCACAGACGCGCTGTCTCCTCTCTCTGTCTGTTCTACAAATACTTTCATGGCAATTGCTCCGAGGAGCTGCATTCGCTGGTTCCCAGACTTCATGAATTCAAGCGCCCTACGAGGCTGGCATCCCGCTCTCACCATTTCACTGTTGAAACTCCTAAATGTAGCCGTCTCTTCTACTCCAATAGCTTTATGTCTCGCACCTCTCGCCTGTGGAACTCCCTTCCCTATTCCAGTTTCCTTGAGAGCTATAATCTCCAGCTATTCAAATGTAATGTCAATCGACATCTCCAGTTGCCTTGATCTATCCACTACCCTTCTCCTCATCCTTTCTTCTATCACTCCTATCTGATCTTGCTCCAAATCTTCTGTAACCCCTTGCGTCCTAGTGGCTTCTCGCCTTGCTTGGGGTGAAACGCTTAAAAAAATAAAAATAAAAATAGCAGTATCTTGAACGTAATAACTATTCTGGGTACATAACAGCAACCCCAACCAACTGGGATAGAAGGGAAGATCATGATAAAAACAGAAAATAACCTCAGTCTACCTAACCTATGTGAAGGGATTCTCGGAAAAGGTACAAAAAATACCTGTGGTCCATATAATATCAGGACAACTTTCCGGAGCGGTTCAATACTACGCAGATATCACTTCTGCGTAAGACCACCCATAATAATTGTCTATATGCCATCCCATGCAGCTGTTGCAAGAAATATAAAGGAGAAACAGATCGCCCCCCCTTAAGATAAGACTGCAGGAATACCCTAAGGCCATAACATGAGGGGAAATAGAAAATTCAAGCATGGCTGTCCATATATGGAAGTAAAAGGCAGATCACCGCCCCCTGTGGGATGAGGCTGAAATAATACAGAGAATATCACCGGAAAATTCAAAAATGTAAGGAACCAGCGTATATACTAAGCCACAAAAATCTCCTAAACCGGCCAAGTATAGACATGAATACAATAGGGAAACCAGTAATACAGAGAGCTGGAAAGAAACAATAATAATAAAAAAAATTGTAATATGAGCTCTGGTAAAAATGGTCACTGAGACATTAGGAATATAAGTGCCAAAAGTTCACGCACTCATAACCACAGCAGAGGGAAGAAAAACATGGAGATTTGAGTTACTAAAGGGAAGTAACTAAAGCTGAGATATCTAAAAAAAAAAAAATGCATGGCACGTGGAATTATAACAATCTACTCCCGTAGATTAAATAAAGGGTTTGGTTCAAAATTCTAACGTATATTACCTGAAGATGACCGGGGCGTAAAAGAGCCGAAACGGCGTGAATATGGCAATAAAGATGAGGACAACAGTCCGAACGATGTCATATCAGAAATATTGCAAATAATATGAAATTAACTTTCATTTATAGTATTGAGACTTTATGAATTTAAACGCAGTACTAGATTGGCGGGAAGGTCTCATCATTTTACACTTGAAATGACTAGCTGTAACCGTAAGTTCTATGTTAATAGTTACTTCTCTTGCACTTCTCGAGGAACTCTCTTCCAGCGTTTTGCATCCCAATCAACTGTGATCTTCAAAACTTGAAATGCGATGTCAATCGTTATCTTCTATATTCTTAATTCTTGTTCTTTTATTGTTCTCACTCTTTAATAATGTTTTTTTTTTAATTCTTATTCTCTCACTCTCAGTAACCCCCTTGCGTCTTAGTGACTTTATTTTCCTTGCTTGGGATGAAATGGTTAAAAGAAAAACTAGGTCAGTTCGAAAAATGCAGCAGTCTTAACGAAAAAAGCCTACAAGAATGGTGCCTTAGTATGCTTCAAGCACTTCTCTTGGAGCCTTTAATATTTATATCGAATTATATTTAATTTTTCAAAAGACTGCAAAAGCCTTCTTTCGGGATTACTCTCAGCTGATTCGTCACGATCTCTGTAATCTCATTCACGCCATTTCAACGTCGGTTTTAGTCGACATTTATGTTTGTTCAACACAGAACCGGTGGTTTATACTGCAAACATTTAATATATATATATGGGAAGTGTTCTAACAGAGGACAGACAGCGTGATACTGAAATCTGAAGACGCATTTGGATAGCCAAAGATGCTTTCCAAATGCTAAGCAGAGTATTAAGAGACAGAAAAACTTCGTTAGAAACAAAGAAAAGTGTACTGAACTGTTAGGTGATATCAGTCCTCCTATATGGTAGTGAATGCTGAACAATCTCATCAAAGATGAAGAAGAGACCCGAAGAAACAAAAATATGGTTCTACAGAAGGATGCTGAGGATACTATGGACCGAACATGTGAGTAATAACGAGGTTTTAGAGAAAATGGAAACAAGATGAAAGTTATACTTAACATGAGGAAGAGACGGTTGAAATTTCTGGGGTACTTAATTAGGAAGGAGGGTTTGGAAAATCTGATACTCACAGGACAGATTGAAGGCAAAAGAAACAGAGGAAAACTGTGCATAACTTGGTAAGCTTGAGTAAATGGATGTCGGAACAGTGTTTGGGAGAAATAACGAAAATTCAAAATTTCTTAAGAGCTACAAAGGACAGGAAATTGTGGAGAGCCATGATCGCCGACGTCCTGAGGAGACATGCTACATTAAAAAGAAGGTACCGAACCGACCTCAGTTATTTTCCTGAGGGAGAGAGAGCGCATAATCTGGCATGATCAGCAGTTGGAACGACCCCAGTACGCTCACACCCTCGTTCACGATGACTTGTGGCTTCGTGCTAGCGTAACCATCAACGGGTTTTGAACAGTTTCGTCAATCCAAGTTTACTCACAAGGCTTGGTTCAACTTGTAGTATGGTTTGGGGGCATTTTCCAAAATTGCCGTACGCTCAGATCACATAACATCAAGAGTTCATTTACCTACCTACTTATATATATATATATATATATGTAAGCAAATATATGGATATAGATCCGATAGTATGAAGAAAATATCAAAAAACAAAAAAAAATCCTAATATTATGCTGTTTTAATGTTAATGTCAACGTCGGACGTTTCGGTCTAATAGACCATCTTCAGGACATAATCAAAAACATAATTAACATAGACCATATACAATTCAACATGAAAAAGACGATGGATTTAAACGGAATAACTAATCCAAACAGACACAAGATCGCCCACGTGACGACGAATTTAAACAAACGCAGATCTTATAAAAGATTTCTGCTTCTATGTTGAATTGTATATGGTCTATGTTAATTATGTTTTATGAATATGTCCTGAAGATGGTCTATTAGACCGAAACGTCCGACGTTGACATTAAATATTAAAACAGCATAAGCGCATATTAGGAATTTTGTTTGTTTTTTCAGTATATTTTCTTCATATATATATATATATATATATATATATATATATATATATGTGTGTGTGTGTGTGTGTGTGTGTGTGTGTGTGTGTGTATTTAGGTAGCAATCCTTCTTTCATGCACATTTCATTGAATACAAGAGACAATGTATTTTGATTTATTTTTTTTTTTATACAGTTTCTCCTAAGATCTATAATTTTTTTCTTTTCAGTTGATAAATTATATAAAAACTGTCCGAATATTCTTTTTCCGAGCGCTTTCGGCTATACATCTAGCCATTTTTAAGGATGAAATATTTTAACTGTTAAATTATTTAACAGTTAAAATATTTCATCCTCGAAAATGGCTAAATGTATAGCCGAAAGCGCTCGGATAAAAGGAAAATGCGGACAGTTTTTATATAATTTATATCTGAAAAGAAAAAATTATTAGATCATATGAAAAATTCTATAAAAAACTAAATCAAAGTACCATGTCTGTCGTAGTCAATGATATATATATATATATTAAGAAATGGACAAAGTCCGACAATTTATTTATTAAAGACATTTTTATGTTTAACGTTCTTTTTTTTATAGAGACAAGTATTTAAGT